AAAAAAAAAAAAAACAGCTGGGCATGACTGTTCCTCCTCCCTAAGCTCTGCTCCAGAAGCCTCTGGCTCCTGGCTCCCAGTCCCTTCCTGTCAGATCTTTCTTCTCTGACTTCCTTGCCTTTGCCAGGATTCTGTCCTCAGCCTTCTTCCTTCCCCACTCACTGTGCACATAAATGTGCACATTCCTTCCAGGCCTCATACCTCCAACTTCCCCTCTCTGCCAGGTCCCCTGCCTCCTACCAGGATGGTCCTGACATTACCTGGAGTATCCACAGCTCTGATTTGGAATTCCGTGTTACCTACACTCTCCTGATGAAGCAGAGTCCTTTCCTGATAGCTTTCTCTTGAAATGCTCCTCATCTCTTTTCACCCAGACCTCACTCTCTCCTACCTAAAGGTTCTAACATGTCCAAACCAGCCTTCAACCCATACTGCTGCCATGGAAGTCTTCATGAAACACCATTCCTGAGACCTTCTGAATTTTTCCATCATTTCTGATTGCTAACATAGGAGTTTCTTGCCTCTTTCTGAAGAATGTCTTTAGCTTCCTCTAAGCATTAATGTGGACTTCCATAATTTCATCCTAATTCTTCTCCCCAGGCATGTTCCTACTTTCGTTCTACATCCACTACAGGTCTTCTCTTCTCCAAACTTGCCTTATGCTCTCTCTAGGTCCTGCAGGGCCTTCCTCTCCACCTAACCAGATACAGTCAGCTTTGCCTCTCCATGGAATAAGTGAAGACTCTCCAAAAACTCCAGTTGGCAGTGCTTACTCCTCCCATTGACCTCCTAGTGCTCAGCTGAACACCTACAGCAGTCACATGCCCAAGAGCTTCTGACATTGTCTCAGGGTCAGATCTTTTGTTTCTTCTTTCATAAGTGCATCTGCTTGTCCAACAGTCAATTATAATTTATAGTTGGGAAAATAAGGTCACTTATCTTTAATCACTTGAAAGCCATCACCCTGTTTTTTATTATCTCATGTTTTATACTTACCTGTCTGGTATTAAAATTTCATGTGTTTATGCCACACTCCCCAACCCTGGTCAGAGGTCTGGTGCTGGGAGAGGCATGCCTTGGGTTCCTTTGTATCTACCTTAACTCAGGGGCTGCCCTAGTAAGTGTCTGTCAGTTTGATTTTCAGCAGAATGTGCCGTTCTAAATACATCCTTTATTTTTCACAGTTTTATTCTTCTTTACTATCTGTGGCATGACCAGCTGTATTTGAAAGAGAAAAGACATGAAATATAAACCAACCTCCTCATTTCTGTTGAGTAAAATGAAGCAGAGATTGGAAACACTTTCTGAAAAAGAAAGCAATGATAGTGGCAGTGGATACCCATTCCCACAAATGCACCCAGGAGATAACTAAGCCATTTACTTAGAGATATTCACAGTCACACATAGAAACACCCACATAGACACAAGGAATGTTACTGCCGAGACTGACTGACATGCAACAGGTGAAGATTTATACGTTATACACAAGCCCAGGTAAGCGCTCATAATTCCTACACACATAATAGAACATCTAGGTTTCATTCCTTTGACATGTTTGTATTTAAATATTGTTACTGGCTTAAAGTATTTTGTGTTCTTTACAATAGAAACGCTTTTAATAAAGTCTTTCAGAATAAACCGAATTTTTGTAAATTTTCAATTCAATAATTAAAGTACTCTTTAAAATTGGATTATCCAAAAATAAATGATACTGAAAACCTCTGAGTTATATACTTTACAGAGGTAAATTACATCTGAATAAAGCTGTAATTAAAAACAACACCTCTCCCCTTTCCACTCTCCATTTCATTCATTTGTTCTTTCAGTATTATTCATGCCACAGATATTTACTGAGCACCTGCCATCTCTGTGGCAGACCCTGTGATTACAGGAGTGAATAAGACATGGTCCTCTTGAAGCTTACCAGGCAGTGCTAGATTCAGAAGTGTGAGTAGAGAATCACAGTGCAGTGCAATGAAGAAGTGAGGATAGGGTGCTTGGGCAGTAGGAACACCTATTGCAGCATTTGAAGTTGGGAGGGCTTTTGAGAGGAAGGGGAGAGGAAAGGAACTTTCCAGTATCCCTGCTGGAGAGAAGAACATAATGCTGAATTAGAGGGTGGAAAGTGTGTCAAGGGGGTGTGCAGGGCCTGAAAGTACCCAGACACCTGGGCAAGGCTCAGCAGTAGGGGCTTTACAGTGACGGTAGGAAATCATGTAAATGTGGGTTATGAAGAGCCTTTTGTAATTTGTTCCCAAGGAATGTGAAACCAGCACAGCTAGTTAAATGGAAGAATCCAAAGATTAGAAAAAATTCATTGGGGTAACATCTCAAAACAGCCACAGGACAGAGAGAACTGTTTACCACCAGGTGGAGCCTGTAATTGTTAAGGGGAGAGAGGGAGAACAGGATTCAAAAGCATACAACCAAAAGGAAAAAGTCAGTTAAAAACAAGTGTCAGAGGCCGCACATGGTAGCTCATGCCTATATCCCAGCACTTGGGGAGGCTGATATGGGCAGATCGCTTGAGCCCAGAAGTTTGAGACCAGCCTGGGAAACATAACAAAATCCTGTCTCTATAGACATATACACACACACCTGGGAAACATGACAAAATCCTGTTTCTAGACACACACACACACATACACACCTGGAAAACATGACAAAATCCTGTCTACACACACACACACACACACTCTCTCCAGGAGTGGTGGCACACACCTATAGTCCAAGCTATTCAGGAGGCTGAGGTGGGAAGATCACTTGAGCCTGGGAGGCAGAGGCTATGGTAAGCCAAAACCACGCCACTTGCACTCCAGCCTGGGCGACAGAACAAGACTCATGACAAAAAAAAAAAAAAAAAGTGTCAGAAAGAGAACCAAAAATGTAATACATCTGATCGTAGCTTTGCAAATCTTTGATCTGTTAACTCAGACAAATGAAGATAAACACATCACCATTTATAAATTCACATTCAATAAATCTCATCTTTCTTGATCACCACAAAGGTGTTTTTTTTAGTCATTTAAAAAAACCAAGTAGATCTGGAGGAAGATGGCAGATAGGAGACAGTGCTAACACGCAGCTCCCACTTGGACAGACAGAACAGTGTGGAGATTCGCACCATGGACTTTTGCTCCAAAACCACCACAAGAATGTCCCAGGGAAGCCAAAAGAATTCACAAATCCTTTGAAAGAAGAAGAACACCACTGCAAATTCTGCAAGACAGGCAAAAAAATTGTGAATTCTCAAAGTGTGAAAGGGGGAAAACCTACCTCTGAACACACATCCCCACTGGAGAATCTGAAAATCCAGATCACAGAAGAAGAACTTAACCTTACCTAGAGCTGAAGCAGATTTAGGGATGAAATACAAAGGTAGAAGCAGCAATGGGAAGAGGCTTGTAGGCATTCCCAGTCTCCATCTCGAGCCCAGGGAAGCCATCCCTGACTCTATTTCACAGGGGCCCTCAGGGAAGGCAGATGGCGGAATTAGGGAGGGCTCACAGGGTGAAAGAAGCTTCCAACTGAAATTTGGAATAATTTCGACTGGGCATGAATTTTGTTGAGCACAAGCCAGTGGATGAACAGGAACTGCTACAGATATGAGTGCAGGAGCTGCCATCAACAGTGTGGGCAGACGTGGAGGGGTAAGGCCTGAAACTTGTGCTTACTTTCTTAGTGAGGAAGCTTACAGCTGGGGCAAGGGCTAAGTGGGGCACTGCAGGAGAGAGACCAGCCTCACCAACTGCATGGAAGCTGGGTAAGGCCTTTTGCTACTGGCTATCTCCCACTTCCCTGGTGAACTAGATGACACAGCAGAGGTGGCCATAATCCCTACTGGAACATAACCCTATTGGCCTGAGGACCACCCCTTCATTCTGCACTTTGGTAACAGCAAACCCCACCCAAGGAGAGTCTGAGCCCACACCCACCTAACCCCTGCCCAGCCCCCACCATGGTACTTCTCTACCCTGATAACTGAACACAAAAGACATATTCTTGGGAGCTTTATGGCCTCACTCATCTGAGAAATCTGAATACTTATCCTGGCCAACTTAAGGCAAGCTTATAGCCCCCTTATACTACCATAGTTGGTGTTCTCTTGAAACCACCACCTCCTGGCTAGAGGCCAGCCAACTCAGGCCATTACAGCAACTCATTACAGAATAACCCTGTTCCTAGGAAAGAGAAAACAACGGCTAATTCCACTGTCTGCAACATCCTGGCTAACCAGAGGTCCTGAGTCTCCACGTGACAACTTCACTGTTAGCATAACCAGCATTCAAGAAAGCCAGCACACTAAGCATATCTGTAACCAAGGACTCTCAAAGGCTATTTCACTCCCTGCCACCTCCACCAGAGCAGGTGCTGGTATCCATGGCTTGGAGACCTGAAGATGGATCACTTCAAGAGACCCTTTGCAGACATTCTCCAGCATCAGCCCAGAGCCTGGTAGACCCACTGAGTGGCTAGACCCAGAAGAGCAATAACAATCACTGCAGTTCAGCTCTCATGAAGCTGTAACCAAAGGGAAGGGGGAGTGCCCCATATCAAGGGATGACCCCATGGCACAAAAGAATCTGAACAGCAGTTCTTGAGTTCTAGACCTTTCCACTGAAATAGTCTACCCAAATGAGAAGGAATCAGAAGAATAATTCTGGCAATATGACAAAATAGGGTTGTATAACCCTCCCAAAAGATCACACTAGCTCCCCAGCAATGGATCCAAACCAAGAAGAAATCTCTGAATTGCCAGAATAATAATTCAGAAGGTTGATTGTTACTCAAGGAGATGCCAGAGAAAGTTGAAAAACAACTTAAATTTAAAAAACAATACAGGATATGAATGAAAAGTTCTCCAGAGAAATAAGGAAAAGAAAAATCACAACTTGTGGAAATGAAAGACACACTTAGAGAAATACAGAATCCACTGGACAGTTTCAACAACAGAATAAGAAGAAAGAACTTAAAAGCTTGAAGACAGGGTTTTCAAATTAACTGAATCTGACAAAGACAAAAAAAATAATTTTTAAAAATGAACAAGCCTCCAAAAAAAAAGTGGGATTATGATAAATGGCCAAACCTAAAAATAATTGGTTTTCCTAAGAAAGAAGAGAAATCTAAAAGTTTAGAATACTTATTTGAGGAAATAATTGAGAAAATTTTCCCTTATTTTGCTAGAGATCTAGATCTCCAAATACAAGAAGCACAAATAACACACCTGGAAAATGCATTGCAAAAAGATAATCACCTAGGCACACATAGTCATCAGGTTATCTAAAGTCAAGATGAATCTTAAGAGCAGTGAGACAAAAGCATCAGGTAACCTATAAAGGAAAATCTATCAGATTACCAGTGATTTCTCAGCAGAAACCTTAAAAGCAAGAAGGGATGCCGGGCGCGGTGGCTCACGCCTGTAATCCCAGCACTTTGGGAGGCCGAGGCGGGTGGATCACAAGGTCAAGAGATCAAGACCATCCTGGTCAACATGGTGAAACCCCGTCTCTACTAAAAATACAAAAAATCAGCTGGGCATGGTGGCACGTGCCTGTAATCCCAGCTACTCAGGAGGCTGAGGCAGGAGAATTGCCTGAACCCAGGAGGCGGAGGCTGCGGTGAGCCAAGATCGTGCCATTGCACTCCAGCCTGGGTAACGAGAGCGAAACTCCGTCTCAAAAAAAAAAAAAAAAAAAAGCAAGAAGGGATTAGGGTCCTATATTTTAGCCTACTGAAACAAAATGATTGTCAGTCAAGAATTTTGCATCCAGGAAAACTAAGCTTCCTAAATGAAGGTGAGAAAAAATCTTTTTCAGACAAACAAATGCTGAGAGAATTCACCATTGCCAAAGGAGTGCTACAACAAATGCTAAAAGGAGTTCTAAATTTTGAAACAAAACCTCGAAATACACCAAAATAGAACCTTCTTAAAGGATAAATCTCACAGAGCCTACAAACACACATACACACACACACAATGGGATAAAAAGGTATTTAGGCAACAACTAGCATAATGAATAGAATAGTACCTCACATCTCAATATGAATGTTGAATGTAAATGGCCTAAATTCTCCACTTAAAAGATACAGAATGGCAGAAATGGATAGAAATCCACCAACCAAGTATCTGCTGTCTTCAGGCAATTGACTTAACACAAAAGGACTCATAAACTTTAGGTAAAGAGGTGAAAGAGATATTCCATGCAAATCGAAACCAAAAGCAAGCAGGAGTAGCTATTCTTACATCAGACAAAAGAGACTTTAAAGCAACAACGACAAAAAAAAAAGAGAAAGAGGGCTTTATATAATGATAAAAGGCTTAGTCCAACAGGAAAGTATCACAATCCTAAATACATATGCACCTAACATTGGAGCTTCCAAATTCATAATACAATTACTACTAGACCTAAGAAATGAGATAGCAACACAATAATAGTAGGTGAATTTAATACTCCACTGACAGCACTAGATGGGTTATCAAGACAGAAAGTCAACAAAGAAACAATGGACTTAAACTATCCCCTAGAACAAACGGACATAACAGATATTTACAGAACATTCTACCCAGCAACTGTGGAATATACATTCTTTTCATCAGCACATGGAACACTGTCCAAGATAGACCATATGATAGATCACAAAACAAGTCTCAATAAATTTAAGAAAATCAAAATTATATCTGATATCCTCTCAGATCACAGTGCAATAAAACTGGAAATT